CTCTGGCCTGCCTCCCCTGGCCCCCTCGCCCCCGCCCTCCTGCCCTGGCCCTGAACCCAGCCTCTCCCTCCTTGGCTCTGGCGCCCCCCCCCTCGCCCCAGATCCTTTTATTTTCGTGGTTCGTCGTCGTCCCCCTGGCTCTGGCCTGCCTCCCCTGGCCCCCTCGCCCCCGCCCTCCTGCCTGGCCCTGAACCCAGCCTCCCTCCTTGGCTCTGGCGTCCCCTGGCCCTGGCCCCAGCCCCCCTCGCCCCGGATCCTTTTATTTTCGTGGTTCGTCGTCGTCCCCTGGCTCTGGCCTGCTTCCCCTGGCCCCCTCGCCCCCGTCCTCCTGGCTGTGGCCCTGAACCCAGCCTCCCTCCTTGGCTCTGGCGCCCCCCCCTCGCCCGGATCCTTTATTTTCGTGGTTCGTCGTCGCCCCCTGGCTCTGGCCTGCTTCCCTGGCCCCCTCGCCCCCGCCCTCCTGCCCTGGCCCTGAACCCAGCCTCCCTCCTTGGCTCTGGCGCCCCCCCTCGCCCCGGATCCTTTATTTTCGTGGTTCGTCGTCGTCCCCCTGGCTCTGGCCTGCTTCCCCTGGCCCCCTCGCCCCCGCCCTCCTGCCCTGGCCCTGAACCCAGCCTCCCTCCTTGGCTCTGGCGTCCCCTGGCCCTGGCCCCAGCCCCCCTCGCCCCGGATTTTTATTTTCGTGGTTCGTCGTCGTCCCCCTGGCTCTGGCCTGCTTCCCCTGGCCCCTCGCCCCCGTCCTGCCCTGGCCCTGAACCCAGCCTCCCTCCTTGGCTCTGGCGCCCCCCCCTCGCCCCGGATCTTTTATTTTCGTGGTTCGTCGTCGTCCCCCTGGCTCTGGCCTGCTTCCCCTGGCCCCCTCGCCCCCGTCCTCCTGCCCTGGCCCTGAACCCAGCCTCCCTCCTTGGCTCTGGCGCCCCCCCCCCGGATCCTTTTATTTTCGTGGTTCGTCGTCGTCCCCCTGGCTCTGGCTTGCCTCCCCTGGCCCCCTCGCCCCCGCCCTCCTGCCCTGGCCCTGAACCCAGCCTCTCCCTCCTTGGCTCTGGCGCCCCCCCCCTCGCCCCAGATCCTTTATTTTCGTGGTTCGTCGTCGTCCCCCTGGCTCTGGCCTGCCTCCCCTGGCCCCCTCGCCCCCGCCCTCCTCTATCCTCCTCCTCTTCTCCTGCTTCAAACGCCCTTTCAGTTTTTTGTATGAGCCTGGGCACACACGTGCCACTTGTATATGTATACACACATATATACATATATATATATATATATATATATCCTTGGCTCTGTGTTTTCTTTTGGGGCCTCCTGGGAGGTCTTCGTCGCCAAGACTGGGTTCCCCTCGAAATTGTGGTCAACATGCACCCCGAGAGAGGTCTGATGAGTAGCGGCATCGGGATCTTGCAGTGTCCCCCCGGGAGACCACTCGCAATGTCAGACCACCGAACACGAGTTGAACAAGCAGTCCGTGGGCCTCGATCCCTCAGAGGCCTATCCAGACATCCCCTGCGCCCCTCAGTGATGGCGGTCACGGGGGAGGCGGGACGGGGGAAAGGGAACGGAAGGAGAAGAAGAACGGTGCAGGGAATAATGGGGGGGGGGGGCAGGTAGGAAAGCGCTGATATGATTGTGGGGCGAAGCAGCCTGTTTCAGAGTTCACACCCGTAGCCTCCTGGATGGCTATGGGTATTAGTAGTGTTTTGAGACTGCCTGAGTTACTCAGGGAACCATCTGGCAAATTCGAACCAACATGGGTATAAGTCTTTAGACACTGTGGATCTCAGCGATAGGTCGTAGCCAGCTAGACAGTTTACCACGCGGTCCGTGACCAGTTTGGCTCACGGGCGTCTGGGACACCCCCTTTGAAACTTGGGGGATCCATCAACTTGGTAAGGCTTGCACGTCAAACCACTGTCTGTCGTGTATCTGATGCATTACAATACGATGTTGTGCCCTCCTCGATGTTCAATGGCCTTCGGCCCATCCCGCCACCCTGCCTGGGTTGTGGGTCAGAGTTCTCAGGTATGCTTCTTCGGGTCTCTTCGGAGCGCTCTCGGGAGCCTCTTTGGATCAGTTTCGGGGCCTCTTGGGAGCCGCTTCGGGGCCTCTTGGGGGCCTCTTGGGGGCTCTGGGGGGCCTCTTGGGGGCCTTGGGGGGGCTTTGGGGTGCCTTTTAGGTTGCCTCTTGGAGTCTCCTGGAGGCCCCTCGGGGCCCAGGGCTCGAAATGTTCGTTCGGGTCCTTCGGGGCCGAGGGCCCATCTGGGCCCCCTCTTCGGGCCGTCATTGCGCCCCATCGGGCCGTCTTGGGCGCCTTTTGTAATCTTGAGGCCATCTTAGGGGACCTCTGGGGCCGTCTTGGGGTGATCTTGGGAGCCTCGTGGGCCGTTTTGGGGCGTCGATACGCCGAAAAGGCGAGAACGCCATAATCCGTCCAACACTTACGGCAAATCACTGCTTTTGGCCTCTTGAGGCTCTCTTGGGAGGCCTCGTGGAGGCCTCTTGGGGCGTCTTGGAGGCCTCTTGGGCCGTCTGGGGGCCATCTTGCGGGGCCATCTTGAGCGTCTTTTAGCGATCGTTCGGCGACTCGGGGCCCCTACATAGTGTCTTGGGGGCCTCTTCGAGCCCTCACGGCCCTTTTTGGGGCCTTCTTGCTTCCGGACAAGGAAATCGAGAAGCCGCGAGAAGCCCAAGGGGCACGCGACAAGCCCAAGAAGATTTGGCGGTTCGGGGTCCAGGCCCCACACAGACTCTTCAGGATTGATGATTGAGGCTTGCAGGATTTGGCGAAGGACCTGGGGACACGCCCACTCCGTGCCCAGCGGCACGGTGTCGAATTGTATATCATGGTCTGCTTGGCTGCGTGCTTCAGCGTGGTTTCTTTTTGTTCGCTTGACATTTCCTCACAATGCTCGTTATCCTCCTGGGGCCTCCGTGGGCATCCTGGGGTCTCCTCCTCGGGGTCCCCCAACAAGCCTCCGAGAGGCCGCCGGTAGACATCCCAAGAGAGAACCCGAGAGTCATCCAACGCGCCTCTGACCCACCAGCCAGGTACGGTGGCGGGTCGCACGGATGGATCTTCGGTCGGAGTGTGCCCATTGTTGCATTTACCTTGCCATCGTTTCTCACCCAAACAAGGTTCACGCGACATCTCAGCGAAACGACCGCCACCCACCACCTCATACAAGAAAGTGCCAGCGATGATGCAGCATGGGTCGGCGGAGTGAGCGGAGCGATTGAATCATAGCCTGCCAGGAGCTCATGGATGCGGGTGTGCAGTATGGCCACGTTTGTTCCGCATGGCATCAAGATATGATCAAGTTCTTGTATGTCTCGGGCTTAGTAGTCTCAGCATCAGGTGTTGATCGGATGAGGTTTAGGTTCAGAGAGGTGTTTCCAATGATTCATATTCGCTCGTAGACGCGACACCTCTCGGCGGTGACGGAGGGCAGGCGGCGGGGGAGAGCCCTCGAGGAGGGACGGGGGAAGAGGGGAGGAGTTGAGACCTTTTGTTCGACAACAGCTCGGCCTGGCCGTTCACTCCTGCAAATACATCGCCGACCTCGAGCGGACCGCTTGGCTCAGCGCAGACGTGGTGTCTGGGACCAGGCCTTGCGAATGCCAGGGTTTCCGATGATTCTGGTGCGCTTCCAAGGCGGACCACGACGGCACGCACATCTTCGATCTTGTCCAGACCGCCGCCTGGCTGAATCGGGCGTGCTATTACTGCAAGGAGGCGGTGCTCCCATCGCTCCAATCATTTCTTCCTTAACAATCAGCTTCTCCTTCCTTTTCTCATCGGCTGCTAACATATGGGGCCCTGAGGGAGGGGGCCCTGAGGACGACAGGCCTCAACCGGTGAAGAATCAGCAGCTTGGGATCTCTTTGCTATCCTTAAAGCACCATCCCTCAGCGCTCCTTCTTTGAAACGCCTTTCGCCGTCTCATCTCTTCCCCTCCTCTCCCTCTCCGTCCCCTCCGCCTCCCTCCACATGTGGAGGGAAGAGGGATGAGCAGAGAGGAGGAACAGGAACTGAGAGGATGATGATGATGAGGAGGAGGAGACGAAGGAAAAGGAAGAGGATGGACGGAGGAGGAGGAGGAAGGACGGAGGAGGAGGAGGAGGATGATGATGATGATGATGATGACGATGATGATGATGATGATGATGATGATGATGATGATGATGATGGTAATGATGATGATGATGATGATGATGATGATGCTGCTGATGATGATGATGATGATGATGCTGATGATGGTAATGATGATGATGATGATGATGATGATGCTGATGCTGATGATGATGATGATGATGATGATGCTGATGCTGATGATGCTGATGCTGATGCTGATGATGATGATGATGATGATGATGATGATGATGATGATGATGATGATGATGATGATGATGATGATGATGATGATGATGATGATGATGATGATGATGATGATGATGATGATGATGATGATGATGATGATGATGATGATGATGATGATGATGATGATGATGATGATGATGATGATGATGATGATGATGATGATGATGATGATGATGATGATGATGATGATGATGATGATGATGATGATGATGATGATGATGATGATGATGAGGAGGAGGAGGAGGAGGAGGAGGAGGAGGAAGAGGAGGAGGAGGAGGAGGAGGTCCGTAGCCATTTTGGTTCAAGTTCAAAACGCATCCCTGGCGCTTCGAGCTTGTCTGCAGCCGAGGGGGCGGCTCGACTTTTTTCTGCGAAGACGGGCCTCTCGGCGCGGGGGGCCCTTTCGCCCGCGCCCTCTTCTCTAGCTTCCTGGCCGCGGGCATTGCCCACGCTGGGTAAATTGAGGCGTTTCCAGTTCCTGGCTCGGGCGGTGCTGGCGTTACAGAGCCGACCTGACTCTGATGTGCAAGACCTCACCTCCAACATGGGGACAGTTTCTTTCGCGGTTGGCAGCAGTCCTGGGAATGCCCCTCGCGGCAAGCGACAGCTGGGACGTGGACGCTCTGACCCCGAGGCCCCTGAGCGCAAGATCCAGGCACTGGAGGACCCCGAGCCCGAGTTCCTCGACTGCGGAGACACAGGCGGAGGTGAGTGCGAAGCAGGTGGCATCATCCTCCCCTGCCAGATCGAAGCGTTCCTCGCCGACGAAGCCATTTCCCCCACCTTCGCCACCCTCAGGACGCCTCGAGGGACTCCCCCTCGTGGCGGTGCTGGCGGGGTCAGCCCTCGTTCTGCCCCTGGTGGACTCCCTGGCGATGAGGAACAACACCCAGGTACCCGTGCAGCTCGCCGCGAACGTCAGCCAGACCACCAGCGTGTTTCCTCCCCCTCTGGGAATGAGCAGCAGCTTCGGATGTATGTGGAAAAGACGAAGACGGATGTTATGGCGCGCCTCAGCACTATGCAACGGAGTCTGGCATCACTCTCGGCGACGATGGCGGATCAATGCAAAGAGTATCGACTTGGCAGTTGAAAAGAGGATGGTGCATCGGGTCACCAGCCACGGTTCTCGATTCATCAACTTGGAAAAGGAAGCGGCAGAGCTACGGCAGGTCCTTGGATTATTTCGGAAGGAAGAATCCGTGACCCGCCCTGCTGGCGAGAACTCAGGTTTCGACCGCGCGATCGACCCCACTATAATTTTGGCTCGCACGCAAATCCCCTTGGCCAAAGCCGCAGTGCAGAAGGCGATCTCCGTGTGGCTCTCGGACTGCAACCTCGAGGCTGACGGCTGGCAAGTGGAAGGCGAGGCGGTGGCCAAGCGGTTCTGCATCCAGCTCCGTGGGCAACAGGCCGACGCGGCTAGGCGGGCGGCGCAGGCTCTCGGTGCCCTGCGTCCTCAGGCCCGCGGCGCGCCTTGGAGGAGGATGTGTGCCCCGTCGCCGGTGGGCAGCCCTGACGTGTAGATCTCACCCAGCTCCAACATGGGTCCACAGATGATCTCAAGGGGGCTGGGATGCAGGAAGATTGCGAAGATGCTGGTGGAGCAGCACTCGTTCAAGAGATTCTACGTCGACAGGGGGAAGGGTAACATCAGTTCTGGATGGGGGGACTTGGTTTTCTTTGAACCGCTTCCGCGGTCGTCTGCGCCGCGGGTGCAATGCAAGGATAGCAACATCCGTGCACTGGACATGGATGTGGAGGTCATCCGACAGTCGTCTAAGCATCTCTTCCAGTCGGCAGACAGTGATCAGTGGTGTTTTAGCAGGTTGCTGAAGGCATGGCAGGATGTCTCGGCCTCCCGTCTTTCAATTTCCATTGGCTCTTGGAATGCGGGGGCTTTGCTGCGTCGTGACCTGCCTCTCAGATCGCGGAATGTTGAGTTCTTGCGGGCCCCCTCACTCCTACCGCCATTCTGGGCATCCAGGAAGTTCACGGGGCGCTCGAGGAGGCAGAAGACATGGTGCATCAGATCCATCGACCAGTTGAGATGTTTTACTCGTTCTGCAGAGCCGACGGAGACCCTGGCGCGATTCGCTCGAACGCTGGGGGCCTTCTGGTTTTTTTCCCGAAGCTGGTCACTGGCGCTAGATTCCAAGTTCGAGGGCTTGTGCACGGTCGAGTTTAGAATGTTCGGGTTCGTTTCGATTCGGAGGACTCCTGGATGTCCCATTGGAGTGCCCACAATTTCTGGCTCCAAGCTGACGGTTGGTCTCGGGTTGTTCCAGAGATGGAGCGTGATTTTGAACGGGCCGAGGATGTGCCTGATCGAGCACTCGTAGTCTTGGCAGGTGGCTTGAATTTCAGCGTTGTGCCTCCTGCCCCTGCTGTTCCCGATAGTCATCTTCGACTTCGGGTAGGACGTCAGGAACGGAGAGACTCGCGTGGCGGGCGGTGGGAGCGTCTCCTCTCTAGATTGGTCGAAGTAGAGCAGGCGGATCCGACGCGCTATTCGATCGCGAACGACTCCGCGAATGTGAACGACCGATTTTTGTTCCGCCCCCCCCCCCCCTCCCGGCTTGAGCATCATCCATGTGAACGCGGTCAGCCTCGCGAAGGAAATCGTCGATGTTTTGGCTCGCCAGCTCACCAGGATATATCAGATCACGCCCCCGTCTCGGTGGACCTCAAATGAGCCCGTCTGCGCCCCCCTAGAGGTCGACCTACCCGAAATGTTCGGAGCCAGATACTTCCAGGGCTTCGTGAAAGGCTACCCCTCGGGACCCTCCTGGAGCAGCGCATCGCCGCCGCTAAAGATTGCAACGCGCGAACACTTAATGACGGAGGGCGCCGGGTTCGTTGGGAATGCTACCCTTCACCGAGGGCCTCAGAGTCGACTCGGGGAGATCATTTTGCACCGCTCGATCGCTCGGGCCATCTGGGGCCAAGATGCGAAGCTTGGCCCCGCCCCGTCGCAAGCGCGCCCGGTCGCCGGGGGGCCGATGGCGTTTGACTCCTGCTCGGGCGAGCTGGCGCTGCGAGGCCCTGCCCTTTTTTCGGGGCAGCTCGATTAACTGCAGACTGTTGGCTTTGCGGCCCGAAAGGCTGCCCCGGGACACGGGGCCACCCAGGAGCTCCATGAAAGCGTTCGGGGGAATTGGCGTCAGCGGGAAAGGGGGATTCGGGAGCCGCTGCTATCTGGGCCTCATTTGATTGGCGTCTGCATTTGAGAGGCATCAAGCTTGGGTCCGACGTCGCTGCCACTCCTGACGGGACGCAGTCTGCCAATCGGGGAATACTGGTCTGTGGTCTGCGGTAAGGAAAATATGATGGGAGGAGGGGCTGGCCAATGCTTAGGCCGTTTCGGATGAGGAATGGACTTCTCGGAGATCCCCCCGCCCCGTCTCTGTGATGTTCGGGGCCGTCTTGAACGACTGGAAGACTGTGCTCAGGTCCAGATGGGCCCCCATTCGCTGCCTGGAAGTCGGCGCCTGGCGCTGCAGAGGTCCTGGGCGAAAGCCAGTGGTGAGTCCTGGGGGCTAAACCATTCTTGGCTTTCAATTCGCTTCTGGGAATATTCCATCCGAAGGGGAAGGGGGGGGCGATGATTTGGGCGCCGCGCGCGACGCCCAGTCTCTTAGGCCCCTGGGGCTGAAGAGCTTTGAGAACGAGATTATCACGAGCCTGGTTGCCCACCCTTTTGCCGTCGAGACGGCCGAGACCCGCTCGCCTCTGCAGCAGGGCTTCGCGGTAGGGCGGCAGTTCTGGGGCAGCGTCAATAAGATAGACGGACGCGCCGGGATTGCTGCTCTTTCCCCTCGTCTCCGAGGACCTTCGCGCGATCTTCTCGCTCGACTTCCCCTGGGCTTTCCCGTCTGTTGCCCATTCATGGCCCTCGATGGTGTTAGGTGAGATGGCTATTATGTCGCCGATGATGCGGTTCTTCTCAACCATGAACCACCGCGTGCAGTGCGGCGGCCTGCTCGGTGGGATGATGGCGTGGATGTGCCCCGTCTGTTCTGGGGCCATCCAAGGCTGTCCTGCCAGCGGAACTCTCTCGGCGGCGCGCCCGAACCCTCTCCCGCTGGACTTCCAGGTTGCCTTCGCCAACAGGAAGCATGCAGTCATCCTTGCGTGCGCTGGCGATATAGGCGGAGTGGTCAGGAAGCTTCGGCTTTTCAATGTGCTTTATCGGGTTTTCACATGGGCTGGGGAGCTCGCCGCACTTGCGTCAAAGACGAGCAGATGCTTCATCGCTTCACTTGCCGGCCCCAGGGGCGAAGAGCAGGCGACTCGATGCGCCGCGGAGATCGCCGAGATCGCCCCGCCCTGGTCCGACTTCACGATTGCCCTTAACCTGAGATCACCCCGCCCTGGTCCGACTTCGCGATCGCCCTTGACTTGAAATACCCCGGCCTCTGGATTGGCCCCAATTCCCATTTGGAGTCTTGGGCGGGGCCCTTGAAGTGGAGAAGTCGAGGAAATCAGCTTGCCCGGGCCAGCGCGCCAACCGCTGTTGCTGCCAGGCTTTGCGCCGCCAGATGTGCCGCAACCACCCCTTATGTTGCGCCGTTTATCCCGCCGCCCAAGGAAGTCTCGGGGCACGAGATGGCGGCCTTGTCAAGTATCTTTCACTTCCCTCGCTGCGCGCTGGATCGAGCTGGATGGTTTAGTCGACGTGCTCTTGGAGGCCCCAGAATACCATGCATGGCGATATGTATGACGGCGGCGCACATTCGAGCTGCTCTGAGCACCTTCGCTGACGCGCGGTCTAAGATGCACCCCCTCCTCTGCGAGAGCGCGCTCCTCCACTCCCCCCTCAATGCGGTGTGCAGAGGCGTGCTCTCCCCCGCGCGGCGGGGTAAACCGGCGCCGCGCCCGAGGTTGAAAGCCTCCTCCGAGGGCGCCCACGTTCAGGAGCAGATGCACGCCCGCGAGCGCATACTAGCCGAAAGTAGACGCCCCCACCATTTACAATTTCAAGGGCCCTGGTGGCCTCTTTGTCGGACCGCGCGTTGCCTGCTGCTGCCCCTGGGGCCCTGTTCAAAGGGTGATTGCTGGATTGGTTTCCCGGGGGGGCCGCTTGCGTTGGCCGAGTCGACTAGGCGGCCGTCGAGGCGGAGGTCAAGAAACTACGGCCTGCTCTCGTCTTTGCGTTCGTTCGCACTCTCGCCCGCGCCTGGCTCACCCAGCGCCGTTTTCAGAAGAATATATCCGGGCGCTGCCTCGGCTGCGAGGCGCCAGGCACCGTGCCCCGCTGCTGGCGCTGCCCGTGTCTCCGCTCAGTGGCGGTGAGAGTTTCGTGTCCTGGGGCGGCGGGCGGGGGGCGGGGCGGGCGCGACCCCTTCGGGCCGCGGCTGGGGGGGCCATCCAGAGAGGCTCAGCGCGCCCATAAGCATGTGTCTAGCTTATCAGAAGATCAGGGCCAAACGTGCGCAACTCGGCCGCCCGCTCTCAGAAGGCGCGGCGCCCGCCCTCGCCCTTGCAATCTCCGCCCAGATGAGGCGCTGGGGGCGGCGCGGTGCGCGGGCGAGGCGGCGGGCGCGCTCCGCCCGGCCACGCGCGAGGAGGAGGGGGGGGGAGGGGGGGGGGAGGAGGGGGGGAGGAGGAGGGGAAGGGGGAGGAGGAGGAGGAGATGAGGCGAGATGAGGCAATCACTAAGTGAGTTCGAGTCGATGCGACGATCGGCAACAGCACGAGAAACGGAGAGAAAGGAGTCGGCGGGGCGGCGGCGGCCCTGGTATTTGGCGAACGGGCGCGCGGCGCGCGCCGCGCACGCTCCGCCCCGACCGAACCGAGCCCCGCCGTATTATACTCTCCATCTCTTTGCTTTCTCGGCTTGGCTTCAAGCTTTCGGCTATTTATGCTGGGCTATTAAATTAAGGCACCCCTGGCGGGTGGGGCCGACGCGCTGCGC